ACAGAATTCTACAGGCTTAAGCCGCTACCATTGCTTACACCTCCCCTATTTACCAATAAGTCCGTCCTCGGACTTGAAGTTGGGGCAGTTTCAGTAAAGAGACACATAGGAATGAACGTAGAAGGCTCACCGTTATCTCGCAGGTAAATATATATCGAGTTGGGATGCAGGAATGACAGCACGACGCTCCTCTGCCCAAGCGAGTACCATGTTCCAGAAGCTGGTACGGCGTAAGGAGTTAACGTGGCCCAGCACGAACAGGCCCTGCCTGCAACGGGTTAACGCCACATTCATGCGGTTTTGGTCATTCAAAAAGTCTCCTGAGGAGGGCTGGAAATTGGTGCGCGTGGTCAAAAGGATGACGATTTCCTTTTCTCTGCCTTGGATTGAATCGACGGTGGCCAGTTCGATGTGGTTTTCGTGAGCAAAGTCAGTCAGTCGTCGCATCTGTTCCTTGTAGAAGGAAAGAATGCTGATTGCGTCGGGACTTATGTGTCGGTTCAATAGTCGAGTAACTATCGTTTGGCAGAGCTCAGTTTCCGTCGAGTTAAAATAGGAGCGACTCGGAGCCTTGACGGAACTTCCATCGACGTTCAAAAACAGAAATGGAGTGACGCCATCAGGCACTTGCATAGAATCCAAGAGAAGAGATCGTCGCTTTGCTGCGGCTCCATTCTGGAGCGCCCCTTGGTAGACGAACATGTTGGGAAGGTCGTTCAGACGGGGATGCGCCCGAAACGTCGTTACTAAGAAGGCAACAGGAACCGCTCGAGAGGTCATCTGCAGCTGCATGAGGCTTCGTGCTCCGTATCGGGCCGGATTGCAGGCGCGAGGGCAACGGACGTGTGGTTGCAATTGGTGCACATCTCCTATGCACACATGTCTGGCTTGAGGCAGACGACTAGCAATAGCGATGAAGACAGGCTCCGGAACCTGCGACGCCTCGTCGCAAATGATGGTGTCGTAGCTTGGGAGGTAGTCTTCGAAAATTCCTTTGGGCCCGGAGGCATTGAGCAGGGAGGAGGTCGTGATACAAATCACGTGTGGTGGCCGGTGAATGAACATCAATGCTACCATGTCGGAAATGGTCCGAGATACATCCTTCTCTGCCATAATGTAGTCCTCACGCTCCTCGTCGGTGAATTCCTCATCCATTCGGTCGCGGTAACGCTCAAGTCGTTCCCGACCTTCCCGAAAGCGGCGGCAAATGGCTTTGGCTTGGGGTCCGAGAGATGCGTCGAAGTCGACGCCGAGTCTCTTAAGGACGTTGTCCAGATCCACGGGCAGTGGATCCCGCTCCTCAGCTGCTGCTGCATCCGACAGGAATCGTACCACATTCAACCGTGGTAGCTCTGTGAAGGAGAGAAGTGTGCGCGCGAATTGGGCGACAGCGGTGTTTGTAGCGGCCGTGACTACTATCTTGCGGTTGTTGACGAGAGCAAGTCGTGATGCTATGAGTGCTCCGACGACGGTCTTTCCAGTACCATAGGCGGCTTGGATGCCGACGATTGAATAGTTGGAGCATCCGAGTTCAATGGCTCTCAGTTGGTCCGGCGCTAGGGTTATGTGGGCGTCCTTTATCATGACTGAGTGGGCGTCGCTTGGCAAGGGTTGCACGCGATTTTCCGGTCGTAGTGAGCATGTGGCAGGTGTTGCTGAATACAAACGGTTGAGCATACGGTGTGCAGGGGAGCCGTCTCGAATTGGACCAAAAAGATCCATTCGGGAAACAATCTCATACGCAGGCTCAGCCGCGACTCCGATTTTGCCAAGGCGAACGGCGGCTGGCACGTAGTAGCTGGCGTCCATCTTCCGTCCGCAGCGGGTCGCTACTTTTACTAATGTGTGAT